AAACTGAGGACGCGGTTGCCTTTTTCAGTCAGAAGGGAGTCTCAAGCTCCTGACTGCTGTGAACTCCAGTTCCGGGAGAGTCTCTGGGGACCCAGACTCATATAGTAGAAACTGGACTGTCAGGCATCAGTCGGAAGTTGCGGGCGGCTTTCTCTCAGAGGTACTTGCAGTGATTACCGGGACACTGAGAATCAGGGCCTCTTAAGGTAGAACTGAGGAGCTGCCATAGCTGCTTTCTCCGCCCTGTTGATGCCCAGAGACCCCGCCCCACCCAAGCTGTGCTTAGAGGCTTTTACCTAACAAACTAGAGCTGGGACAGAAAAACCCAGAACTTCCAAAAGAAGGCCCTCTTCCCACTCCTGCTTCCCTTCCTCCTGTTCCTCATCCTCTTCCTCTTCCCACTGCTCCTCTGTCAACATGTGAATGTAGGAGAGAGAGAGTCTCTGCAGATGAAGAGCAAATGTCCCCCTCATCTGACCCAGGTGAAGAGCAAATGTCCCCAGGGTGGGCAGGTCCCAGGTGCAGTTCACTTCCACCTCCTGGATGCAGTCCAGCTGCACCCCATCCAGGACCTTGCTGACCCTCTGGAAGGGCACCTCAGAAATCCTCAGCGCCTTGCAGCACAGGTGTACCAACCCTTCCCTCTGCTGGGCCCATCCGATGATGTACATGAGAAACTCATCCCCGACCCTTTCATTGAAGTTAAGGTCTAGGAACACCTCCAAGGGAGCCAAGGGGTGCTCCATGTTGGGGCTGGAGCTGTGCACGGCCACTGGTCCCGTCAGTGAGCAATTCTGGGTGCTATCTCCACACCACATTCTCCAGAAGTTGTCACCTGTTTTCCTTAAATCCAGCACCCGCAGTTTCCACCTCCTGGGCCGAACCTCCTGGGCAAACAGAATGTCAAGCTCATCCAACACGGCTTTTAAGACCTCATCCAGGGACAGATGTGACAGGCAGCCCAGAGGGAGGACAGTGAAGGGCCAGGCATGCACCATCGCCTTCAGGGGCTCCCAGATTCTCCTGCGGTGGGCCTGAATGAACAGCGGTGGGAAGAGAGCAGCCAGCAGATACTCCAGAGCTGTGATGGCTGAGGCCTGGTCCCTCAGCAGGCTCTCTCCTGCCAGCTGCAGGAGTGTGGGTGGGGTCCGGATGTTCATGTTCAAGGTGCTCAGAAAGGAATCCTTCTGAAACGTCTGCTGTGACTGGGTTGGCTGGGGCTCAGATCTCAGACCTGGGGGAGAACCACGGCACTGACAGCAGAGCTGGAGGACTCTGAATCTCTCCTCTGGTGCCTGAGGTTTTTATACACCTTCTCAAAATCTAACATCCAATCAGAAACCTCAGTCTCCACCCCTTAATCTTATTGGGATTATTTCCTCTCTCCAGATTAATGGATTGAGAGAAAGTTAGGGAGGGACAGGGTTGAGGACTGGCTCATGGATTCCTTCCATAGACACTGACTGTGGTTGACTGATGGCTCCCAGTTGTCATCCTCAGGGGGGGACAGTGAAGGGGTAATGGGTTCCTGATGTTAAACAGGAAAAAACACAACCTGAGAGTGTGGTGGGGGG